GAAACAGAAGTGTCCTCTAGCCCCAAACAGCTACTTGCTCCCCTCTAACATCTGTAGCTCCAGAACAGATGTCCTTGGTCAAAAGCTTCCTACCCAAAAAAAGTGTGCTTCCAGCAGAAGCTCCTTGCGACGTTTGCACCGCTAGCTCTCCTGACCACAGAGAACTGAGTCTTTTGGGGACTCCAGAGGAAGTGGGACCAAGCCCAAGTCTCCTAGGAAGGTGTCGTAGGAGAAGGGGAGGAGAGGTTCCTTGAGCTTGAGGCCTATCTTTAGGGGCTCGGGATCTGTGTGGAAAAGCAGTGTCCTGGGCACACGTTACAGGTTACAAACATCTTGTTTCTGCTTTCTGGCATCTGCAGTGGAAAGATACAAAAGTGTCAGTATAGTGCAGTGTGTTTTCACTCATGTGAAAGTCTCCACGGGGAAGACTTCAGCTATGTAGACCAACAGGGAAGGTGTAGGATAGGCTATTAAGTGTAAACTGCGTGGGGGAAGGGAGAGTCACAGAAAAGTGTTTTCCGTATGAACCCATCTTCAGAGTAGATCCATGTGCGTGAGTGGGAGTAGATGTGTTGGTATTTCAATGAATATACATAATAAACACCCGGCTAGACAATTTCCAGACACGTATATTTAAGAAAATGTGATCTGAGAGTGTAACTGGCCTGGGGAAGGGGGGCGGAGGGGTGCATTTATCTCTCAAATTATATCCACGTAGTGTGTATTTTTTCCCAGAACACATGCATGACTTCCTTGATTTTTTTAAATGTAAAAAAGTGGGCATTTTAATAATAGCTAAGAATAAGTGTAACATCTCCTTGGAAGACAAGAAGGGAGTTTGTTGGCGCTCAAGGCAAAGCACCCCACAATGTCAGGGTCCCACAGGCATCAGGCCTGTCCGAGGTTCTATCTAGCAGAGGCTTTGAGAGACATTTCTCATCGAAACGTGTGTAAGTAGGTGTTCTCTCAGGCTGCCCCGTGCCCCTCAACACACCCGCGCATAGAGGGTGCTTCTGATATTGATGTGCCCAGGATTAGAGGGCTGTGTAGCCTGCTGGGTGAAGAAGAGACCTGCTTGATAACTTCCCTTTTTATTTACCTGTAAACCTGGGATTGAGCCGAAGTCGTGTTATATCTGGTACACTCACAAATGAGAATTTGAAAGATGCTGCTCAGGACAAAAATCTTTGCAACTTTTGGGTAGACAAAGATTTCTTAGTTGGCACACAAAATCAGACTTCATAAAAATGAAATGCTTCTGCTTATTTAAGACAAGAAACCAAGGAGAGTAAGCCACAGAGTGAGAAAAAATAGATCTGAAATCGACTAATATCCAAAATATTTAGAGGAACCTTCACAGCTCAATAAGAAGTTAAACAACTCAGTGAAAAAATGGACACAGACTTGAACAGATTTTTCACATATGAATGGCCAGCCATCATAGAATATTCTCCACATCATTTGATTAGGGAAATGCCAATTTAAGCCATAATGAAATGTCACTACACATCCACTAGAATGACTAAAATGTTAAAAAAATTGACAATTTCAAGTGTTGGCCGAAATGTGAAGCAGCAAGAATCATGTCCATAGTGCAGCCTGGGCAAGGTAGCTGTCAGTCCCCTGCAAAGTGAAACACACTCTTACTAGCAGGCACCCAAGGGAACATATGAAAACACATGTGCTCAAGACTGGTTCACAGCAACTTTATTTTATATAAGATCCAAAACTTCACAACCCAAATATCCATCTGCAGATGAATGGTAAACAAATCGTGGTATATCCACACTCTAAATTACTCGTCACTGATGGAAAATTCTAGAAGGAATGAAATATGACTCTACCTCATGGGGAAATAATGGAATTTAGTTGCTCAGGGCAGGGTCAACCTGGACTGCAAATGGACATAAAGAAACTTTTGGGTGATGGAATTTGTGTCTTGGTGGTTCTCTTTAACTTGATTGTGTTGCTAGTAACAAGGGTATACAATTTGCATCGTGTTATTATACACTTAAACCAGGGCATTTTATTGTATGTAAATCATCCCTCCATCAGTTGATTTTCTTAAAGGCTGGCCTCACTATCCCCCAGGAAAGGGCTGGCACTGTAGTGCCAGTGTGTACACATTTACATAAACACACAATGACTTTTGCCAATTCGCCTGCCAAGATGTCGGGGCAGAGTCTCTCCTGCCTTGCCCTCCCTTCCATTCTGCCCATGGGGCTGTGTATTCAGACTTATGCCTCCCAGGAACTGCCCCATTCAGAATGGAAAGTGGAGCTGTGGGAATTGATTATGAATGAGATCATGAGAAGACTATATTATACCATCCTGAAATGCCTGCTGAGCGTGGGGGCCAGGGGAGTGTCAGTTTTTGTGTCTGGAGGCCTCGGCCTTGGCAGATCCAGCTGGAAGGAAGGAGTGGGGGACTTGGCCTAAAGCATCCTGTTTTTGCTTAGTTCATGGGGTTTTTTGAAGTGGTAAGTGAGAGTCATTGGTGAACATTTATGGGATCTAAAGCATTTCCCACGTTGCCTCTTGGACTCTGGGATGCTTGTCTGGGGAGTGATGATACTCTTTTCCTTCCCTTCCTTTTTTATTTCTTTTATTATGGCTTTCTTTTTTTTTAAGATTTATTTATTTATGCATATGAGAACTGGGGTACAGGCGAGAGGTGCGAGGGTGAAAGGATTCACCAGAGACAGAGCAGGGAGCAGAACAGGCAGATCTACTGAAATACACTGCTGAGGGGAGCAGCAGGTGAGTCAGGAGAGGTCTGCTGTGCCATGTGGTCACCTCCCTAGCTGGGGATCGAACTCGTGCTGCAGTAGCTGCAAATAGCTTCATAGTCTAAGACTAATCCCTTTGTGCCACCAGGGAGGTCCCTGTTATGGCTTTCTTTCTATGTCCTTTACACCTTCCTCCTGAGATCCGATGTGCTTTCGAATACAGAACTACTTTCTTTAATATATGGGAAAAGATTGTTGACTTCTTACCCATATCTCTTCTTGTTCTGCCTCAGTTGAACCCCCTGGTCACTCAGGAAAACTCAGGGATAAGATTCACCCTTGGGGGCAATACAGCCAAGTCCTCTCATCCTCGAAGATGACAAAGAACCTTTGCTTGTCAAGAAAGAACAGGAAAGGATCCTTTCCAAAATAAGCAAGTAGGAAGACCTGGCCTCTGTCCCCAAGGGCACCTCCTGGGAATGCTGGCTCCCTGCAGACTTGTGGGGTGCCAGCAACTACCCAAAACTGTGGGTCCTGTGTCTTGGCAACAGGTTTTGTGGGGAAATGAGAAGGCAGGGCAGCCAGAACCCTGGGACCAGGGAATGGAACTTCAGGTTTCCAGTTCATCATTCAAAATGGATGGATATCTCTGCTTGATCTCAAAATAGAAAGTTAAATTAAAAATTAAATAAAAAAATGGATGGATGGATGGATGGACGGACAGACTGGCAGGTAGACATAGAGAGATAGGTAGAGAGAGAGAGATCAGTAGGGAATGATGACTGTTGTAGGCATTTCACCTCAGGAGTTGCCAAATAAGTTAATTTACCTGTTTCTCGTGCAATGCACTTATTAAAATAAACTTTCACTCCACTATGGAGTGTAAGTAACAAGCCTTCTGCAGGCAAAAATAGAAAAAGCCTGCGGAGGAAAGTTCTTTTTTTTTTTTTTTTTATTTGCAACATTGCCTTCTGGAGCCAGCATCATCTGTATTATTAATCGCTTGTGGAGCTGTACTGCATCACGTCACTCCCTTGGAATTAAACTGCACATAGAAAACATGAAAAATGTACTTTTTTAAACAGTAAAAGAAAGTCATTTTCTAGTATAGTACCAAAATAAAGTGCCATGGAGCCATTAGTAAGTAAATTGAATTTTTTGGTATGTAATTTGTACAAAAACTGACAAGTTCGAGCCCCCCTACCCCTTCATCATTAGTCACTGGGTTTAGCGGACACAGAGGTACTAATCTGCAAGGACAGGCATTTTGATGTCGACTTCAATTGCACACTTCATTTATTTGGATAGGGCACTGGCGGCAGCTTCTGTCACGAGGCATCACCGTGCTATTAGCGAATTTCGCCCCAGGGCAGCTGGGACTCGCTGGGCTGGGACAGATGTTCTTTTCAGCCTATTCAGTGACCATTCTTGGTGGTTGTTTACCGTTGCCATGGAGACTTTCATTTCCATAGCAGCAACGCTGCTGTTTCTCAGGAAAATGAATTTAGTTATAAGAGGATAATATTTTTCTCTGTTTCTGCATAACCTGCCATCTGTCAACCAGCAGATCAGTAAGGATTCAGAAACCTATTAAGAATTATAGCAATGAAAGGATGAGGTTTGTTTGTTTGCTTTTCTGGTTCCTACTGTAAACAATAATAAATGTGGAAGCAAACATTGTGCCCTCTACATCAGAACTTTCTTTTTTCTGTGTATTTTAAGTGTGTGTGTGTGTGTGTGTGTCTTCAATACTTCCACCCCCTCCATCACTGCTGTGCACACGCACTACCTCAGACAGTGCAATTTACATTCTGTTGACAAGTGGAAATGTCCGAATGTCTTATTCGTATCTCACTAGATCAGGTGTATTTAATGCTTTCTCTTCTTGAGGCTGTGAGCTTCCCTGAGTTCATTAAGAATTTTTGTAGCTGAACTTCTGATTGTCACCCCACTCTTACTTCTCATCCCAGGGAGCAAGTTGTGATCAGCCACTTACCAGGAGCAGACAGTGCAGAGTATAAAACTAGCAAAATTAGAAGAGACCAGGCTTTGTCCAATAAACCTACCAGCTGGCCCCTCATTCTAGAATGCCTTTCGTCATCCAAAAATTGGAAAGGAAAGGACATCCCCTTTGGGGAGATGATAACTCATCTAGTTCCTGGATTTATTTTCTTTTCTCTGTTTCATTCATAAACTATAACTTGCAGGGGAAAAAACACACACACACCAGCCCTGTTGTAAATAATGTTATTTATTGGTTGATTTTTCCAGATCCTGACATTGATGCTGCCAGTGCCATGATGCTTTTGAATACTCCCCCTGAGATACAAGCAGGTTGTGAGTAGATATTTCTATAGCCTACAGCACCATAGTTTGTGAACTTAATCTTCTCATTTATCTACCAGGCCATAGGAAGAATTAATGGTCAAGTAGAACTTCCCCTGTAGATTCCCTTCAAAACTGCCTGCGTGCATGATCACATGCACATGCCTTTCAGTGTACATCCATGCATACATGTGAATGAATGCACAGGCGTGCGTCCAAAGTGGAAAATTTCTAATACAACTTGAGGGCTTAAGAGTTGGGAGAAGGGAAGCAGACCCCCATCATGAGACCCAGTAGAGAGCCCTTTCTTTTTCCTGCAGGAACTGTTTCTCTGAGTATGTAGTTTCCACTAGCAGAGGCTTCATGGAGCCAACTTTAAAACCACGGAACTGAGCAGTGCCCATTTTTAGAAATATCTTTCCCTTTGGGGACTTCATTAATACCAGGTAACCATTTTGAAAGAGAGAGGAAATTCTGTCGAGGTGAGGGTACAGGAAGTCAGAATAGCCTTGAAATAGAACTACTTCAGTGCCCCCGAATCACCCCCAATCCAGCCTTGCAGGCTGCGTTGATTGAAGGGAGAGCCAAGCACTCATCAGCGGGGCTCCTGCCGCACCCTCTGGGGGCTGGTGAGCAATGTCAAGCCTGAGACAGCTTTTTCCTTACTTGAACTTCTCTTCTATCCATAAACTGATGTTGTTGCACACCTCTAAAAATATGCTACTGTGGTTTCGGCAGGGTCTCCCTCCCAAGCCATGAAAAGCGACCTGAATGGAGATCTCTGTCCCCTCCCCCTCCCCACTGAGGCCAGCTCCACTGCCCACATTTCACCCCCAGCCAGCAGCCTATTGCGAAGTCAGCTGATCCTCCATGACTTCCTTCAGCGTCCTCCAGCTTCCTCTTGATGAAACATACTGTGTAGAGATGGTGCCGTGAAGTGACAGTATCGTCCACACCCTACCCTCCACCCACATGGGCCTGGCTGGCTGAGAGACACAAAGGGAGACCCTAGTTTGGAAGCCAGTAGGGTTTCCCACAGGAGTTCCTCCAGCCTCAGACTCACAACCATTAATCCTAGACTGCTGTGGGGTCACAGACCACCCTTCACAGCCCCTCCCCTTGTCATCGGCTCCCAGGAGCCTTAGGACCTTTCACTCCATTCTTTCCATTTGTCCCTTTTTCAAAGAGATCCAAGAGAAGCAAACAAGCATCCTCAGGAGAGAACATGTCCCTCTCCTGGAGGCTGCTACGACCTGCTTCTGTGGGTACAGAATCCTCACTCTCTTTTGCTAAACACCGATCACTGTCACCGACCACCGATCACAAATCCTCACTCTGTTTTGCTAAACAGCGATTAAAAGGACAGGTTGCCCATACCTAGAAGCAGGTGCCACCACTAAGCAGACGTGCAGCCAGCAGTTAACCTGTGATGTGGTTTTTAAATGATGTTTGAAGTTACAGAGAAATAGGAAAAAAACCTCTGTCTCAGAGGCGAGTGCAGGAGGAGTATGGACCAGATGGAGATGGGCTGGCAGTCTGAAATGGTTTCTAAAATCAAGTTGCGTGACTCTTTATCAAGGAGACGTACCAATTTCATTAGAACTGGGTAAGATTCAAGCACCTCCTTAGCACCAGCCACTGCGATCATTGGTTTCAAAAAATACTTTGGATGGTTCAGAATCATGGTGTTAAGAGGGGAAAAGCAACGGGATGGATCGATACAGGGTCCTCAGCAGCCTCCAAAGAAATCCAGTATTACTGTACTCTTGACCACGGGTAGGAAAGAAGAAGGGTTGGTTGATCCTGATTAGTTGACAGCTAATTGTTTTTAATGTTTTCAAGGTTAAATGAACTTCTTCCTTTCTATCGCTGTGATAATCAAAGTGTAAGTTAATTTTCGGGGTATGCCTCGGCTATTTACATTGAGTGCTGAATTTGCATTTTAAAAGCCCAGTCGGTGTTGCCATGTGGAAGCTGTAGGGTCATTTTCAGTGGACTTTGCTTTACGAAGGCCCCATGGCAAGAGTGCCTGGACGGGAGGACACAAAATTCCTCCCAACAGCATTGGAAGGAGATGCCTGTTGGCAGAAGTAGCAGAGAAGTCAACTCAGAGACTGGGGAGAGGTCAGGGTGCCCACTTTGTCTGACCTTCCCATCTGGCCCCAAGTCCTAGTAAAGTCCCTGAAGGTCAGACCCAAGGAAGGAAGGGAGCGGCAGTGGAGGTTGGCTCTGCCCTGGCCAGGCGGCCCATCCTCAGCCTCTCTGTCAGCGCCGTCAGGGGTGCAGTCTCTGACACCAGGCCCTGCTTTCTCTTGCCTCTCCTTGGCTCCCCTCCTTTTCCTCCCTATGCTTCCAAGTCAGGGCTCCTAACGCTTTTTACCCCAAATTCGATGCCCCGCCTTGCCTCCCGCGGGGAGAAGCATTGCAGATAAACATACTGACCACTCTTGCCCTGCCTGCTTTGCCCAAGGCCTGGACAAATGAGACTGGGTTCCTCATCAAAAAGGTTTGAGGGCAGGGGCCTCTCTGGTGGCGCAAGGAGTTAAGCGTCAGCGCTATGAAGCTGTCTGCAGCATGAATTCGATCCCTGGCCAGGGAGCTACCCACATGGCACAGCAGACCTCTCCTGTCTTGCCCGCTGCTCCCCTCAGCAGTGTGTTTCAGTAGATCTGCCTGCTCTGCTCACCGCTCTGTCTCTGGTGAATCTTCTCTGCCTCTGTACCTCTGGCCTACACCCCAGTTCTTGTGTGTATAAATTAATAAATCTTTAAAAAATAAAAAAGATTCGAAGGCTGCAGACCCCCAGTCTTCATGCGGCACCAGCAGCCAGCCTGGTGGCATCTGTGTGCGTGTGTCCCCACGTGGACTTGTGCATGCTTCGTCCAGGGTCCTGCCACCGCCAGCCCAGGGGCTCGGGTTCCTGTCTGCAAGGCCCACCTGAGTCACCCCCTGGCTAGGCTGTGGCTGGACTCTGTCCACAGAGCCTCCCCCTGTGCTGCTATAAATATAGCCCCGCGTCTTCACCTCCTGCGCCGCGTGTTTGAACGAGGCCACCAACCTAGTCTGTCTACCGCTGTCACTCCCAGCAAGGCAGAGCTGGCCTGGATGGCTTGAAAGGCTTTTCCTTTGTCATCACCCACTCCACTTCAGGTCACCAGGCGGCAGCCACTCAGATCTTTCCCTCGCATCCTTTCCTTGCTGAGCGTCTGCAAAGCCCCCTCAGGGCTGGCAGACCAGTCACAGTCCAGCATCTGAGCCGACCAGGTCAAGCTAGGGAAATGCCTCAAGAATCTGGAGACACCCTGGTCAACCAAATCCCTGTGTGCTTGGAGGGGGTCTGCCCTAACCCTGGGAAGCTCAAGGCACCAGAGAATGCTTGAGTGGGGCTCCCCCAGGGCCCCTTTGCCTCACATTGCCATCTGATGTTCCACTTCCAACGAGGCGGCACCAAGCAGCACATGAAACCCCGGCTCCAACACGCTGCCCCCATCTGGCAGCACTGGCCAAGAAATGGTCTTTTTCAGACCTGGCCACTTAGCTGCACGGGGCACACCCTCAAAGAGTGCCAGTGTGTCTCGTGGTCCTCAGGACGCTGCTTCCAGAAGAGCCAGTGCAGACAGTGCTGTCTCCTAAACTTTGGCTTCTGCTTGTAATCAGATCACCCACCTCCCCACCCCGAAAGTGGCCATGTAGACTAATTCCAGCTTCTAGAGTCTCCTTAAGTACCTGCTTCGAATTCCCCTTTGACAAGCCCTGTGAGTCATCTTTAACCCTGATGGAGGACTTGTTATTAAGTCAGGGGAAGTCAGATCACCATTACTCATCTTCAGAGGCTTATATAATCCCTGGCTGGAATGTTCCCAGGGAGGAACTCTATATAATAAACAAAACAACAAAATGGGCCAGGTGGCGCTTTCCACGCCCTGCCTGGACCTGGCTTTGGGATCAGACTCACCAGGTACAGAGGAAGAAAAGCAACCAGGAAGTGGGCTCCTGCACGTCACCCGCCCCAGCATCCTTCCAAGGCAGCAGGTGGAGAGGTGGGCTCGGGAAGGCAGGCTTGTCGGAATCACCTGCTGCTCAGCTTATGGCCTTGGTAGCCCCAGCCTGGGCTGCCCTCCAAAGGCAGCAGTAGGAGCTCAGAGGTTAATTTTAGCAGTCCTGAAAATTAAGGAAGCTGAGCCTCGGGAGGGAAGCTGGGGATGTGCTGAGGGGTGGTGTGGCGCAGGGGGACCTGTGTCTCGTGCCATAGATGCTTTTTGTTTCATTCTCAAGACGATCACCTTTAGATCCCAGTGAGCGTGTTGCTTGACTGGAGTGTGTGTGTGTGTGTGTGTGTGTGTGTGTGTGTGTGTGTGTGTGTGTGTGTGTGTGTCTTTCTCGGTGGTTAAAAATGAGAAAGTTCAGAGTCACTCTAACTTCAGAGAAAGCCAGTGGTGCGCGAGTGCTGGGGTCCCTGGTACCCATGTCCCTGAGCTCTAGGTGTGCTGCTTCGTGCCTTTAAAGACTGAATATTTGGTTGACCTAGCAGGAAGGAGGGCACAGGTCTCCTTTCTAGTGAGAGCCACAGAGCAGAGTGAGCAGCTGGTTGTAAATACCCAGTTTTCCTCTCCCAGCTCTGATCTCACAGAGCCTGGTGTCTTTTGGGTCCGTTGGGTGGAATGGCTGGTTGTGAAGGGTGTGGGACTTGAGTTTCTTGATATTCTTTGAGGGAAGGTGTAGGTCTGCTGACAGAGGCAGGGCTGGAGAATGGACTCGTGTTCCTCCAGGATCCCAGAATCAAAAAAGCAATAGTGGGATCCTCCCGATGCTTTTCTCAGACAGTCTAGACTGGCTGTGATTCGTTTTTCAGAAGCCACATTCCTGACACTTGGGGATGGAGACAGAAAGGAGAAAAGATGCAGGGTCAGTTAAGTGTCCCAGCTGGTTTCTGGCAGCCGGCGAGCATATGTGAACACATCGGCCTCCCCACCGGAAGCTCTTTGCCAGTGATCAGGACTGAGACCTGCCAGGATGGGCTAGGATGGCCTTCAGCTGCAGCGTGTTTGAGACCAGGCCCCGGGCTTGGGAAGAAGAACCTAGTTCACTGCCAGAAGTCTTGAAAGGTTCAGGAAATAGCTCAGAGAAAGCCTTTTAATGCTGTAGGGTAGCTTTGTCCATGAGATTCTCTTTGAAGTGAATACAGCTCATTAATCAGGAGGATGTTTAGTGGGTGAATGCAGCATTAAGGATAAGTACAAAAAGCGTAGTAGCCTCAAAGAATTTCCCCTGTCCTGACCCCATTAGACCCTGTGCCTTATAGAAAATTAATAAGAGGATGCTAGAGAGGTGAGATGACTGTGATGACAATGATGATGAGCTGATATAATGAGCCAGCCACGGAGTTAAGCAATTCATCCAGGTGTTGTCTGTGCCATTCCTCTGCCTTTGAACTTAGGTGGCACTTCCTACAGGAAGTCTTCCCAGATATCCCTTAGTTGGGCTAGTGTTTCCATCTTTCATACTTATAGACTCCCTGACCCAGCATTCATCATGTTATATTTTCGTTGCCTCTTTAATTCTCTTTCTATCCCACTTAACTGCCGTGACCCTGAGTCCCCTTCGTTGCCAGTGATAAAGACTGACAAACACAGAGGCAAAAGGTCAAAGATTTAGTCCGTTGATTGATATAATCTGTATATGGAATTGTTATTTCTTCTAGCAAGAACTATTACAGATTCCAAATATATATTTATAGGTGGTTCATTCTCTCAGATATACTTGCTGCTGTAGATAAGACCCCTACTAACTGATATATTAGGAAGTATTATCAGAATTAAACTGAATCTGAAGAAAGTTTGATACAACAAAATAATTGAAAAAGACTTTCCTACAATAATCAAAACAAAAATCCTATCTTTTCAGGCCGTGTTCATGTAGACACTGTCTAAAACCCAGAATTCAACTGGGTTTTCCATATATCTGACCTTGGGAATTATTGTTTTTTTCTCGGATATTTTCTTGTAGAAGTTTTATAATTCTAGTTCCGACATTTATGTTTATGATCCATTTGTAATTTCATACGTGATAGGCGGTAAGGACCAAGTTTCACTTTTTTCTAAGTGGATCGTTATTTGTTCTAACTCTTCTTTCCCGATTGTATTGTCTTGATACCGTCATCAAAAATCAGTTAATCACATGTGTGTGGGTCAATTTCTGGCTTTTGTTTTGTTGGTTTATATACCTTTATTTAAACCTATGCCACACTCTCTGGTAGCTATATACAAAGTCTTGCTAATCAGGTAATAGAGATTTTAGACACTCTTCCTCATAGACAACTCCTCATCAAACTATGATAATTAGCTGCAACATCACATTACAAATCATTTCATGCTTTTTTCCTCTCTGTTTAGAGAGGGGAAAGACTGGGGGACTTGCACACAGTCACACAAGAACAACTAGGATTAAAAACACAGGCAAACAAGCCTTCTATCAGAGTTCTCATCTCGTGATGCACAGCTGTCCCCGTAGATAGGGTGTTGGCAGGTGTAGTGAGAGGATTGGCTTGAACCATGTGAACTTGCTTTTGGAGAGGTCAAAAATAATCGAATACCAGGGAAATCCTCAGACAATATGAAGCTGGTGTGAAGCCACTTGAGTTGATTAGAAAATGGCCAGGATCTGATGGCCACTGGCTAACAAGGTTGACCTCGGGTTGGTTGGTTGGTTGGTTGGTTAGCAAAGGTGGTATGATGAGACTTGCTTGAAGCCTCAGAGAAAGAGAAATTTGGTCACTCAGACCAGATTCTGGGTGATTCTGAGGCAGAAACTGGAGCTTCACCATCTACCCTCCCATCCTTCTTGAGGACCTTCCTTCATGTGGCAGAGACCATTGTGAGGATGAAGTGTGTGAAGAACACTGAGGTACCAAGTAGCTTGTAAAAGCAACTTTGTGCTGTCATTTTAGCTTTTTCCTTTGTTGGATTAAGGACAGAGAAAGATGCTTATCTCCAGAGAAGCACAGGAAATGCTCTTTGTTTGGTCACCTGCTGTTCACATGTGTCAGCATCCTTGAGATCTGGTTAGGATCTGACTAGAGATTAAAGCTTATATTTAATAATGTAAGGAAATAAGGTTTGAAGCCTATTTTTCAAAACTCACCTTTTTTTTTTTTAAACCAAGACATTAGTAATTTGGTTGTAAGCTATTGGTCTGACAAGGTTGACTGAATCTCTTTCTTACAGCGTGGTATCTTTCTATCTTTCTCTCACATGTGCTTGCTTGGCTTCTTTTTCTATCTCTATCTTCCTCTATTCCCGTGTGTGTGTGTGTGTGTGTGTGTGTGTGTGTGTGTGTGTGTGAAAGAGAGAGAGAGAGAGAGAGAGAGAAGAGAGTTCTCTGTGCCAATGACCATCTCTTTTTCTCTGTTCTGTCTTTCTCTTTGCTATATCCAAATTTTCTGACTTACAACAGAAATCTTCACAGTTGAATTCATGTGTGATACCTTTTCCCTTTTTGCTTTTCCAGTTCCTCCAGGAGTGATTCAAAACGGAGCGCGGGTTCTGAGCCGAGGGCTGTTTCCCGGAGTCCGGCCATTGCCCATCACCCCCATTGGAATGACGGCCGCTGTGAGGTAAGCAAGGAGCAATCTGGGCAGAGTTGTGGGAAGGGCATCGTGTGGCCCACGTGGCGTCTGGACGGAATGGAGAGAACCAGCCTCTTAACTATTGAGGCAGTAAACCTGGTTTCAGTGGTCAAAAAAGTTAAACTTACTCCCGAGGACCCCAACCCAAATGCCAGTCGCTGCTTCTTGGGCCATCAAATAAATGATCTTGGTTTCTTCCCAGATGAGGAGATATTGAGGAATCTAACTGAGGTTTTTTGTTTGTTTTTTTTCATCCGAGAGGAAGACAGGTAACGAGGGGAGAAGGAAATGGTAGTTGAGTTGTTCATTAGAATTGAGACTCAGGGCTCCAGTTATAGACTCAGCCCTGAGGGCATGTCTGACCTCTCTGGGCTTCAGTTTCCAGAATATCAGTTCTCTTTTCTTTTTGGACCCTTAAGCCCTTGCATCATTGTAACCCTGCGATGAGAGACCGTGTGTGGGAAACCCCTCTCTGTCCCCTCTGTCCTTGGCTTCCTGAGGACAGAGCTGGGTCCCACTCGCAGTGCGGAAGACACAGTGCTGCGTGCTAGAGCTGCCCCTCTTCACAGCATCGCCTTGCTTCCTCTTGCCTGTGCAGGCCAAGTTCACACCTGAAGGCCATTGCGCTGTTGTGCTGTTTCACACCCCAAAGGAAACCACCTCAGAAAGGTGGTGCACTGGGCCTGAGGGAGAGGCGGGGTCAGACTCCCTGGGGTGAGCCAGCCATGTTGAGCCTCTCCTCTTGCTTGTGACTTTCAACTACACCTGCTTTGCCAGGATGGACGTGGCTTGATCACCCAGGGCAGATGCTGGTGTCTCGAACCTGTCACAGAGGGAACTTGGTAGGAATTAGATGAGTCGTAGAATGGAGAAGGGCCGTTCTAGGTTGTTGATACAACATGGTCATGTGTTCCCAAAATGACAGGGAAGCACCTTTTCTTGTGTTGCTCAGCATCATTTCCAGGCCCCTTTGGTGCATAATCCTGGAGTCCAGAAATAGCAGGCCTCGTCCTCGAAGCTAGATGAACACTGCCTTTGCCTCACACCGTGGAAGCGACATGTTCTGTTTTCCAACCTCTCAGAACCTTTCCTGCCTTACCTCTAGTTGACATGATTTGATCCCTGGGCTATTTTCCTACTTTCATTCACAAATTCTAAGGATGGGCTTCTAGTTTGGGATCCATTCTCTGAGTGTCTTCAAGCCTGTCCCCCGTGTGGCTCGATCAGGCCTGATAGGAGGCACCAAAGGCTGGCAGGGAAAGAGGAGCCCTGAGGCTAGGTCAGCCTCAGTGGGCCCTGTGTCCCCATCTTCAGGATTGCCCTCGTGGTACACATCATCGCAAATTTTACTGGTTAGTACCTCTGGAGGCATTATTTTAAATACCAATTTTTCTCTCTTGACTATGTTCTGACTAGAAGATAAAATAAATAAGGAAGTCTTGTTTCTGGCTCAGGAGTTGCCTGTCATCTAGTCCCATGAACCTCCCTCTGGTTACTTCCAGAGGGAAAGACCATAGGTGGTTCTAGGACAGGACTCATGTGTTGGCTGGTTCCAGTCAGGAGGCAGAGACCACACTAGATGGATACTGACAGAGTGACTTGAAGGCATAAAGAGCCTTTAGCCAGCAGAGTTACTAACCAGGTACCTGGGAGCCACTGCAGGAAGCAGCTACAGTCCCTCAGGAGGAGGGCGCAGAGGGAAGAAATTGGAACAATTGCCCCCGGAGCTGAAGCTCAGACCTCTGGGCGGGGGTTGGCACCTACACCTGAGGAGGATGCTCCTGCTGGTGCAGGTACCTCCAGGGGCACGTGAAGAAGTGGGTTCTGTAAGTGTTGGGAGAACTGCAGAGCCATTCAGCAGCTGCAATGAAGCAGAGTGGCGGGGTGATTGAGGAAGTGGAGACACAGGAAGGAGCTTGTTCCTTCTTCCTCCACCTCCTTCCCAGTCTCTGTGGCATGCCCTGCTGTCCAAGCCTAATAGGGAGCCAGGTGGTGGGGCAGAAAGGTGGCTGGTCCATCCCCGCCAGCCCAGCATCCCTGGCTCGGTGGAGGATGGTTTAGGGCCGAGTGACAGTAGCTTCACTGTGGCACAAACTGTTCCATGTCTGTCCAGCACTGGGCATCATAGGGGTTTTGAGCAGAACCACTTGAGCAAAAGGTGCCGCCCTTGCTGGCAGAAAGTAGCCCAGTTTCCACCTGTGGAATAGAGACAACCAGCAGCAAAGCCTGAGGCGTGGCTGTATCCACACTCGTTATCCAGATACCAGTTCTGCATCTTCCACCTCAAGTGTGAGGGAAATTAGGAAAGGATTGTTGCTTCTGTGGGCGTAACTGGTTTGTTGCTCTTCACTTTACTGCGAATTACAGATACTGCCATTTTCTCCCAAATGGAAGGTCTGTGGGAACCCTGTGTTGAGTGTATTGATGCCATTTTTCCAACAACATGTGCTTACTTTATGTCTCTGTGTTATATATTTTAGCAATAAAGTATTGTTAATATAATAAGGTACCACACAGTTGTTTTGTTAGACTTCATAATCTTGCACACTTAACAGACTACAGTAAACATTCTGTGCCCTGGGAAACAAACAAACAAAAAAATTGGTGTAACATGCTTTATTGCGATGTTCACTTTGTTGTGGTATCTGGAGTGGCCCGAGGTGCACCTGTGATGCCTCTCCATGTCCCTTAGGCCTGGCAAATAGTAAGTGCTGAGATGTTCTCAGAAAGAGTCAACATTAACACAGCTACGTAGGTCTTTGCAGAATCAGTGTCTTGTAAAGCCCATTAAGAAGTATTGGGAGGAGGGAGGACCTTGTTTTGTTCTTCAGGTTCTTTGTAATTTAAAAGAAATTTAATTTGGCCATGTGTCCATTGAACCAAAATTCAGCTGAGGTCAAAAGGAAAGCGTCCAACAGAGACTGGAACATCAGCCAATGTCTCCACCGATCACTGGCAGTGACCATCAGTTCCTGGGGTTGTTCAGATGGTGCGGGGATTGCTACCCCGGTCAGTTCATCTGGGGCTGGAAGGAGGCTCATTAGCACCCACTCGAGATCAATTTCCTACTCTGCTTTGTGCGATGGGTTTTCTGTGTGAGTCTAAGCGACTTTTCCTTAAGTGAAAATATTTGTCTTTCAGGGATTTTTTTTCCTCCACTGAGTGGCAAAGGCCATGTTTGTTTGTCTTAACTCTAAAACTGTTATTGACATAGATGAAGTGTTACTTTTATTAGCTGATCATTACACAGCTTGTATTTGCTGGGTTCCTTTGCATATAATTATGATGTGAAATCTCTTCCTAAGAGTATCTGTCAATAGAGTAATTGACTTTACGGTGTTGACTTTTTACTCAATAACCTCAGAGACTGGCCCATCCTTAGATGTTGGAAACCTGCTTATTTTTAAATTTGCCTGGGTGTAGAGGCCTCAAGACACCTTATCCTCAAAATAACTGCTCAAAGGTCTAACACATGTCTTCTGCTGCATTCTTAGTGAAATTGCTTCCTTAGAATACATTTGGATGGGACAAATGGTACTAGCCCTAGAAGAACAGTTTCCAGCCCTCTTGGGGTACAGGAGCCCTGAGTTTCTTACATTCATAGTATTAGGGGCTACCTCCCAGGTAGGGTACATAGTACTTCTCCTGGATTGGGGCCACTTGCCTTCAATGCTGCCACTCTTTTGACCCCAAACAGAGAAGAAATAAATGTCCAAGGCTTGACAGAGAATTAGGAGTGAACCAATAGGAGGGGCATCGTTCTCATGGTAATAGGGCCCAGAAATTACGTGTTTACACCAGGGAGTTACGTTTCCCAGGGTCCATGTCCTGTAGCTCTGTGACCTTAGACAGGTATACCTTCTCATGGGAAAACCAGCATCTATTTCATGGATTATTAGGAGTAACAATTATTAGGAGTAACAATTATGTGCTGTTATATAGTTAGCATTACACAGATATTGGATGAATAAATAAATAGAACAACCAGATTCTGAAATGAGGAAGGACTTGAATAGACTTTTCTCCCAAGAAGATAAACAAATGGCCAATACGCATATAAAAAGATATTCATCATCATTAATCATTAAGAAATGCAAATCAAACTACACCTTACACCCATTAGAATATCTACTATCAAACCCCAACAACTCCCCTCCCCTGAAAAAAAAAAACCACAGAAGATAGCAAGTGTTGACAAGAATATGGAAAAATTGGAACTTTTGTACACTGTTGGTGGGAATGTGAAATGGTACAACTGATGGAAAATAGCATGGCAGTTCCTAAAAAAACTCAGTCCCCAGTGGGTCCCCATCTCAGGCTTTTCCCTTTGCTTTTGGCTCTTCTGGTCCAGAAATCTAAAAAATGACCAGCAACCTTACTATGTGAAATCTAACCTGTGTTCTGCAGTTGCTTCTCATATTTCAGTGCTTGGAGTGGTGAGTGCTTTTGAAAGTCTGGGTGGCTTTGACTTTGACTTTGCCTTTTGTGTCTAAAAATCCTCTGATCTAATGGTTCTGGGCTATACCAAAGGCAAAATCATTTGTGGAGGAGAACTTTAGGCTCATCGTGCATTCTGTGATCTACGGCAGGGAGATAGACACATTTATCTCAGTGGTTTAGAGGACAATCATGGGAGAAGACTGGTCCCTGCAGCCTGGAAATGACCACTGAGGGCTGTCTCCTGAGATGTTTGACCCATGTGCTTGTGAGCAAGGGCTACCCAGCTAGAACTGGCATCAGGGCCTTGGATTCCTTCTGGAATAATGTTACACTACACAAATAATTAGAAACTCATGCATCCACCACCCAGCTTGAAAATGAAAATATTAATGATACCTTTGGCTTCCCTGAAAGGTGACCAAAATCCCAAATTTTATATTTACTGTACCTGTGCTTTTAAAAGCATTTTTAAATACTTTTTAAAATATTATTTAAATTATTTAAAACATTTTTATTTAAAGTATTTTTTGAAGTATTTACATCTATAA